TGCGTTAACATTCGAATCAAGGAGCCAATTTTGCAGGAAAAGTAATTCGAGAGTTGTGCTTGGCACCAGGAATAAAGAAGACAAGAACCACACCATATCAGCCTATGGGGAATTGATTATGCGAACGATTTAATCTTACACTACTGGATATGTTAGGAACACTTGAACCAAGTGAGAAAGCTGATTGGAAGAAGCACATCCCTTAGTTCATGCATATAATTGTCGTCACAAATGGGAAGAAGAAGCATATATTGTTCTGGACCAGCCCAACAAGGATATTCCTGTTTTTAAAGTCGAGAAGGGGGAACGTGAACACTACATAGGAATTTGTTGCTTCCAATCTTTAGTGTACCATCAGAAGTTATGGACCCTAGGAAAGCTAAGGAAAAGAACAGAACTGGTAGGCCATGTGCAAAAATATTTGATGATGAATCCTCTAGTGAGAGTGACAGGGATGTTGTTATCGCTCCCAAAGTTAGAGTTCCGAGTGCCCCATCCAGCACCACTGACAGAAATTTAGCAGAGGGGAGCATTGCTGTCGCCGAATCTACTGATGACGATCGGGATGGGATTGCGTAGACAGGAGATGATGGGAATATTGGTGACGACCAGGCATCAATAGAGTATGTGAATATTTCCACCTCTCGTGATGATCCAGAACCGCCATGTGGTCATGGTGATGAGGTATCCAGAAATGATGCCGGTACTTTGGATCAAGAACCTGAGAGACCAGTTCCTGTGCCTAGGAAATCAACTAAGAAGAAAGAGAAACCAAAATGGCAGATGACTGGGGAGTATGTTGTAAGTATGGTACAAGCCCCTGCTCATGCTCCAGATTGGCTAAGGCTAGCACAATTTATAGTGGAGCTTGCTTGAACTGGTGCACTGGAGGACATGCCTGACACTGCGAGAACAGCAGTGCTAGCCGTAGTAAGCGGTAAATGACACGGAGAGAGTATATGAGGGGTATTATTTATATTTCATTGTTTTATGATATGCATTAGGACATGCTTTGACTATGTCATTATATTTACTGACATGAATCAGAATGTGCTTATTTATCTAATAATGTATTAATGTGTTTTATTTGTATTTGTAGTTTGTATGAGTATTAGTTGGATAGATAGATATATTTATCAAAATACCAGGTAAGTAGATATGTGATTGAAACAGTGAGTTGTACTCACCTGTATGTTTTATAAATGCAATCTTACCATATTTATATGGAAGACTTGTGTGTCATAATAAGATTCATACTTTGACCTTTGACATAACCTGACTTAGACGATCTGATTGGATGGATACCATCTGGAGAGGAAAGTTCAATATGATTTTATGTAGGTACAGTACTTAGTTCTTCGTTAGGCAGAAGATATTAGGATTGTGGAGAGCAAGGAAGGGTCACATCAGGAGTAGAAATCATTATTAAATGTTGAATAATAAATTGCTATGAAGTAAATGTATATTATTAGATATAATGTAATGCTATTGTTCTCAAGGATAAGTATTTGTTGAGTGTAGAATCTGTAGGTCTACAAAGTTGCTAAATAGCATTTTCAATTTTTATCATTGACAAATGTGTTCAATAGGTTTTGTATTTTATTTATTTAGAATCATGAGTGAAATTGAGATGTGAGATAGCAGATTGAGATAGACAAACATAACAAAAAGAATCCTGTTTATATACCTCTACACCACATGTAGGGTTAGTTTATGAATTCTAGAGTCTAGAGTCTATATATATGTAGATCTGTGTATTTTATATTTATGAATAAGGAAAGGAATGCAATCCTTGGTCAGTGGTATAATTTATGGTATTAATATGTTCAAGTATTTAACAGTGCTATATAAGTAATGTTAAAACATATAAATGTGGTTGTAAATGATAAGATTTCCTATATTTCTTATCTGGTATGAAATGTTAAAGTGCCAACTCGATCTGGTATGAAATGTTAAAGTGCCAACTCGATAATCTGTAATGTAAGAGAGTTGTGTCCCTTGACTTAGTGTGCAAGAGTATAAATGTATGTCTTTGTTTTGTTGTAGGGTATTTATAGATGTTGTAATAAAGCAACAGCCATTTGAAGAGCATTTTGAATTGGTTTTTTCCACTCCACTAGGGACCGAACCTCATGGGACCTCTGGCTTGCTTCTCTCTAGCCGAGCGATATGTTGCGGCTATTATTTGCCAGGGTTACAATGAAACAGAGCAAGAGGTTATAGGTCAGCAGGAGAGTAATGAGACACAGCTATTCGGAGCTATTATTGTCGATGAATACGAGTTGGAGAATCTGAACTTAATTTATGCCAGCCTGTAGAGTATCTACAATGTAGTAAAGTTACTGTGTGCATGAGTGTTTACAATATTCTTTATACTCACAATTGTCCACTGAGGACATAGCTTTATATCTTCCTTTTATGTGGATTTAAGACACCTAAGTAATTTCTGATTCATCTCACACGGACAAGCCGATTCAGTGGGTTATGATCAGTTTCTAAAATGACCCTGTGACCAAACAAATATACATCAAATGCTTTGAAGCCAACACTAGCGTCGGTGCTTATTTCTAATTGATAGCGAAAGCCTGCAGTTCTATAAGTAATTAAATCTTACTGAGATACATGATTGGAGATACAACCTGCAATCTTCACTGAGTCTTCCTTTAACCTGAACTACACGATCACCTACTTTTTCTCATACTTCCCTGACAACCTCATAATTGCCTGATTTCCCGTTTAGTTGAAACAGTCAGAGGTGAAGTCAATTTTGCCAAAATTTTCAAATAATAATGCCATGTAACCAAAACCTTTCTCATCCTCTTGGACAAGCAAATTGCTTTATGGTCTCAAAACTGGTGCTACTTTCACCAACAACATGGCTTAAAATTCCAAACTTATGCTGGCTAGGTTTGGTCATCAATTCGTCATGTTACGTATAAAGTTCGTTAAGAAGGTCAGACGTATATATATATCAACAAAATAATATAGGCTTAATCAATACAGTGTAGATGTACAACACGATGTTGTCAAAAACATCAGAAAGTAAAGCAAAATTTGACAAAACAAATGGCACACACTTATCAAACTGTCGTCGAGCTACGTCCCAAGTGTCGATATGTTCTTGGGTCTATTTTTAACGTTAAATGTAACCATGGGACAATTTTTTATCCATTAAATACATATTCCAATTTGGGACTGATCAAGATGTTGACAAAGTTATCAATCTACCGGATAAGAGACAAGAGGCCCAAGGGCCTTAGCGGTCACCTGAGTTATATCATAGGTACTGGTAGCTTTATTTTATTGTTTAGATGTGATGTGGAAATCAGCATTTCAACTAAGTGAAATACAATACTTGTCATGTCATCAAAGCATAAGAATTTTAAAATATTTGTAAATGTTCTCTTTGGGGCCCCGTTCTAACCACTGGGGATGGGGCAGGAATTCCAAGTTTACAATGTGATACCGTCATCCACCAAAGATGATTCTGACCAAGTAAAATAATTTCCAACAGGAAATTGTCAAAATATACCCAAAAGTGTTTTTTCCCTATGTAAACTATAGTAAACTTTACCCCATCCCCAAGGGAGAACTGATAGCTCAGGGGGTCCTGAAATTTACAATTTAAATAAAGCCCCTGATGATCTTTCCATCCATGCAGAGAAAATGNTAATTTCCAACAGGAAATTGTCAAAATATACCCAAAAGTGTTTTTTCCCTATGTAAACTATAGTAAACTTTACCCCATCCCCAAGGGAGAACTGATAGCTCAGGGGGTCCTGAAATTTACAATTTAAATAAAGCCCCTGATGATCTTTCCATCCATGCAGAGAAAATGACTGTAATATATATATATATCTCTGAGTCTGGAGAAGAAGATTCTTGAAATATTGGTTAATTTCCTTTTGATAACAAATATTAAAGTTACATGATCTGGCACCTTACACCACATGATCTATGTAAGAGTTATCTCCTTTAACACAAATGATTAAATAATTTAGAATTACTTGGGTATTATCATTTCGTGTTTTCTTGCTTACAGTTAAAATGTGTCATTTTATGTGTCATGTTGTTGATTAATTCACAAAGTCTTCATTACTAAATATAACATTTCCACTGCACAAAGCCTAGATGTTTCTACCAGGCCTATTGTGACATTGCTATGCTTATGACGTCATAACTGTAACGTTGGAGATTGCACTGCTCCACTGTCAACTGGTGGCGGTTCTCTGTATGGATTTACCCTGACATTGAAACATGTTCAGACTAATATTATGTCTTTATTTCTGCGTGAACTGTAAGTTGATTAACATAAAATGTAAATATAAGTATTGGTTGTCATATTTTTGACATGCATTGGTGTGTAACATACATTGGCTTACCTACATATTTGAATGGTGCGCTAAATGTATACATAATATCTGACAAGCTTCATGCTCTTCTGGGAAGGAGAGACATGTCACAATGATCGGGGATGTCCATCCATAAGTAGAGCGCTAACCTGCAGCCAGTCCATAAAAGGACAGAAAAACATTCTAGTAGCCCTGTGATTTTTTATGTAAATCTGTGCAGTTATAAAAACCTTTCCCCTGGATAATTCATAATGTGTAATATATTTTCTAATAATTAATGTGAAAATCACTTCATTTTCCCAAAATCATGCATCTTTGTGTGACTGTTTTCCCAAGGTCATAATATTAGGCCAGAGCAGAAAAAAGAGGTTGAAAAATCACTGAAGCTGACCAATATTAAACATGACTGTTGTAAACAATTGAAGTTTGACTAATGCTGATATATAATATACTTATCCTAGGCATCGGCCTAGTGCAATTCGACTCCTCTGTGAAAGTTACCATACATCCCCTTAAATATTACGCATATATCACTGAAGATAGAGAAGAAAGTGGGATTTTAATTGTTAGAAAATCACTAATTTGTGTATCAGTGAAATTATGTATATTGACAGATATACCACACGGCAACAAATAAACAAACTAGAATTGAAATTGTTTAAATACTTTTATCTCAATATTCACCAATAGAAGTAAATGTTTCGACTGACATGCTGGTCTACACTGTAGGAGTATGTACATTAACACAGATCTATATTTACACCTACCTTGCATACTGGTTCACACAACACTAACCCTACACACAACAACCTGATCAGCTGTCAATCACAAAATATTGGCAGAGGATAACTGCCAGCTTTTCCTAAAAGATTATTCTCAAGCTATAGTGTTATCAAATTTCAATGATAAAAATGTCAATGGTATCCCCTTTTTTATGAAAATGGGGCATTACTTTTTGCAGCATCAAATATATTTTGGAATTAAAAGAAATACAAAATAAAAAACAAAATTGCTGTAATATATTTTGTAAATGAATCGGGTTAACGTATTGTTGAACTCATAAATTTCATTTTATATTTTATCAAACTTATAATAAGTAAATCAGAAAGAGAAATCTATTTAAAATGGAGCAAATTTGGTTTCTTGAGTCCATTTAATGAGGGTTTTTGGGCATTGGCCTTAAACACACGTACACACATAGAGCATTCATTCAAAAATATCTTCAATTCAAAAAGTGTATTAATATCTTAAGAAATGCATTCTCTGCTAACCATGGGTTCAAATCTGAACATGCAGTAACACTTAAACAGAGTAAAAAACCCTTGGCCAACAAGATGAAGTACAAAATGTACTGGTACAGTACATTTGTACAGATGTTCTCATTTATTTAACAAATAAAATTAATACAAACTTAAAGAAAATACTACAGGTATAAAAAAAAATCATAACAATGAGCACTATTATGGAGCACTCTCATCGCAGCTGTCTGCAGGTTCAGAGGTAGCAGAAGCCTTGACTGAGGATCTTTACATTATGCAGTGACCTTTGACTTTGTGTGGCAGATTGTAGTATGACAAAGATAAAGTTGTAATTCTTTTTGTAATTTTGATCATGAGTAGATTTCCTCTAATTTGTTCCATCTACCTGTGTTACATACAATATTTTTGGTTCTGAATTTCATCCATACCATTGCAACTAGTACATGTATTTCCTAAATGGGAATTAAATGTCATGATAATCTTCTCTCAACATTTAACAGGAAAAAATGTTACTTGGCATTCATAGTTACCAAAGCGATAGGACACATTCTAAATGGACAAAACCTGACTTGTATCTTGTATTTATTAACACAATAATTGTCCTTGACCACATTTCCATCCTGGGAAGATTAAAACCTTCCCTGCAGACTGTATTGTATATTGATACTGTAGCTCTATATCTCCATACAAACAATGGAACAGACAGATTCATCCTTTTCATTATGTTACAAACTTTCACCAACATCTTTACGGCTAAAATTTCCAAAACATCTCATCAACGGGAGCATACCACAGGATTCCATCACAAGTTAGATAAGCCACTTTACAAAGGCAGCTCAAACTTAACATCCACAGCAGCCTCCTTAGCAATGCTGACAATGTAGGACAGCTTCACCACCTGTAAAACAATCAGGCCAGGTCATACAACAGGTTAACCAATCGGATGAGGCCTTACAACATGTCAACCAATCAGATTAGGCCTTAACAACATGTGAACCAATCTGCGGCCTTAAAAGATGTAAAATAATCAGAAGATTTTACTACTGGTAAAGTAGAAAAAAAGAAGAAGATAAAGTCTTCTAACATGTAAACAAATAAGACAAAAGTCTTACAAAAGGGAAATCAATTCAACAAAGTTGTAAAAAAGGTAAACCATTAAGACAGGGTCTTGTGCATCAAAGTCTTATACATCAAACGTAATAAATAAATAAAACAAGCTGGGACTTTATTTAATATGTAACTTCAAAACTCAAACAAAATCTTACAATTGATCAACCATTTCCTATCAAATAGTGTATTTTAAGTCATTTTGTCAATGAGATGTTCATAATTCTGCTAAAAATAAAAACAAAGTGACCATGACCTTTGACCTTTTCACCTTGACCATCAAAATCTAATCAAGTGTAGAACTCTATAAAAGTAATACCATACTATGGTGTAAATATAAACTGAATTTGTTGAAGAGTTTGTCAAATATCTTGAACAGAAGTTTTTTACTTCAAAAGTGGTCAAGAGTGATCTTTGCCTTTGACCCTCTAACCTTGACCGATGACCCCCAAAATGGTGCAAATAGCAATAACCGTAATGTGTTCCGGGCTTCCTGATTTCTTGTACACAAGCTTTACCATGGTACTATTTTTAGATAGACGGGCAGACCAACACATGCACTGACACAGCCATTACTATATTATCCCCTTACTAGGTGGGGGTTATAATAAGATACAAAGTTTCCTCTGATTGACAGGTAAGGACAACCTACCATTTTAGCAGCCTCATCTAAGTTATCACAGGCTATAATCTTTAGGTTGCTGGCAGCTATCAGGGCCTTGGCATCCTCCACACGAGTTCCTGTATCACACAACATAAAACATCTGTCACACCAGGCACTGATACATTATAGCTTAATATGGATTCCATTTGATAAATACTACTCTTAATCGTAGGTTTAAGGTTAATTTGAAAATTTAGCAAACATTCTTTTCAAGAACTTGTAGGTTTAGGGTTTATTTGGAAATTTAGCAAACATTCTCTTCAAGAACTGTCATATATATCACCTTAGTTATTGCAAAGATGTAAAACAACAATTAATGTATCAAATGTTCCTCAAAAATAGTGAAAAATCGTGTACATAGTGTTTCAATTTACATTTGCAGTTAAGTGAATTTTGTAACTATTCTATATAAATACAGTACATCTAAATATTTCAATTAAGTTGTTTATTTCAATAGATATTCACTCTGCTGAATTTGTCCTGACACTTGAGATATGCTTACTGTAAATATCTGACTGAAAGAAATTTTTGGATACTTTTTTGCAAAGTAAACTCTGGATTACTATTTCCTGTTTTACAAAGCCAGTAGAACAATTTTTTCATCATCTACCAATATCCAATATAATACCAATAATAATTATCAAAAGATCAGTTTTTGCCAAATATGCATCAGTGGTTATTGATGCATAATGTAAACTACACTTAAAATAACTCACAAAAATAGTGGAAATATAATTTTTACAAGTTGTATTTCAAACCTGTGACAATTGTTGTCGGGTCTATTGGCCATATCTGACTAATAGAATCTCTCAGCCCCAAGGGGGTAAGATGGGGGAATCTCAACCCGAGGGGGAAGATTCCTAAGTTGCCCAACACAAGGCTTTGCTGAGGATTAAGATTCCCCTATCTCACCCTCATGGGGGTAAATGATACTTTTTCTCTTACCCTGTTCACCCCTTGTGTATCATATGCATAATGTAATGTTAACGTTACAGGCTAAATTCAGGGTTGATGTGACGTTGATGGATTGTTGATGTGACGTCATACCATTGTTATGAATAGGGGAATCCTATGGTGAGATATATAGAATCTCCCACCCCTTTGGGGTGAGATAGGGGAATCTCAAACTATTCATAACAATGGTATGACGTCACATCAACAATACGATGACGTCACATCAACAATCCATCAACATCGCATCAACCCTGAATTTAAGCATCTAACGATATCATTACATTGTGCATATGATACACAATGGGAGAACCGGGTAAGAGAAAAAGAATCTCTCACCCCTTAACCTGAGGGGGAAGATTTTTATGTTGCCAAACACTAGGCTTTTTTGGTGCGAGAGATTCCATAAATCTCACACTGGTAAAAGTGTGGATACACTATCCTGGGTAAGAGATTACACTGTTTTAACATAATGTCAAAAGATAAACCAGAAATCCTCCAAATGAAACCATTAATTTTTGTAACGATGATTGTTTATAATAGTTCTTCAATAAAACCCACTGTGACCATTTGAGCTTTTCCACTGTCAGGTAATCTTCATGTAAAAGTGTTTGTTTTTGGTACGCAGAGATTGTTTATGTTAATTCCATACAATTTGTTCCCATACAATAAACAACAAAATTTTAATTCTAATGAAATTTCAGCTTTTCCAGTACCTTGCTTCCACTTACAACATACAAATGCTAGCTGGGTAAAATAAAACTGTTTTTATTTAAGGATCTCTGTCCCACTGCAGGTAAAACACAAGAGAGCTCCACTGTAGGTTTTCTTACATACAGTTACCTCCCCTTTATTTTCGGTATTTTTAGTATTTATAATTATAACTGAAGTTAAACTAAGCAAGAGGATTACAGCTGATCAGGTAGCTCAGTTGGTTAGAACAACCATATTCTCATCAAAGGTCAAGTGTTCAAATCCTGGTCTGGCGCCATTGCATTTTCACTCTTAGAAAAAATCTGTTGATTTCCTTTTCTTTGTTTTATCTATATCAGTTATTTTGTGAACATCCTGCAAGGTATGGGTTTCATTACAAAAATATTAAATTCAATATCAAATTTTAATATTATCTTATTATCAAAGCTATCATCATGCTTGTATAAATATTCCAATTCATAGTAGAACTTTTGGGCAAAGGTACTGGGATCCTGAAAGTATCTATTAAGTATATTGACTACAGGGTACCTACCTTGTAACCTTACAACTATTGGGATTTTGAGGTTCAGGACGTCTGCGGCAGCAATGACTCCCTGGGCAATAACATCACACCTCATGATTCCTCCGAAAATGTTCACCAGGATAGCATCAACCTGACAAACAAATTCACTACCATCAACACAGTGTGTACAAAGTTACTACAGGGAGGGTAGTGTCACGTATAGGAAGCTACTAGCTATGTTGTTGTAATTATAGAAGGTTTTAGTTTTCAAGAATGTTTTGAAACCTTGTGAAAAATTCCAAAGAAAGACTCTGTATACATATGCTGGGAAAGAGCTTTGTAGAGTCAATCAATCAAAAACTAAAACTGGATATAGCTCATGTAGTGTATCATGAATATTACTGAATAACACCTTAAAATCAGTAACATATGTTAAAGGAAACATTTAAACTGTACTTTAATATTCTTCTTATCTGCCAGCTTTACAAATGTGCGAATGACCCTTAATTAATACATTATTTCATCAATAAAAATTGGAAATATGTTGAATTTTCACTGATACCTTCAAAGATATTTTTCATGATGTTGACATATTAGTTGTGTTTAAACAGCATTTTATTCAATAATCAGGAAATGTTATTATATAACTGTAATTTCAGGGGGATTGGAAAACAAGCTAATACATATTAGTTGACAGAACGCTGAATAACAAACTCAAAAGAGTACTTTGGTTTGATTTATAAAGAGGTACCATACTAAATATTTATATAAAGAGGTACCATACTAAAAAAGAATCAATTTCATTAACCATATCATGCAGCATCTGTTCTTACGTTGGGGTCGGAGGTTATCAAACGAAAGGCCTCTGTCACTTGTTTAGATGTTGCACCTCCTCCAACGTCAAGGAAATTGGCAGGATTTCCTCCATGGAGTTTGATGATGTCCATGGTTGCCATGGCAAGACCTGCTCCATTTACAAGACAACCGATGCTGCCATCTAACCCAATATAGTTGAGGTTAGCCTCAGCCGCAGTCGCCTCACGTTTGTCCTCCTGTGCCCAATCCCGCAGTTTAAATATCTTCTCTTGTCGAAATTCTGCATTGTCGTCAAAGTTCAGCTTACAGTCCATACAATAAACTGCAATACAACACATAATAAACGATCACAACTTCTTAGTATCCTTCTGTTACAGGTAGATTTACACTGAAACAAAAGCTCAACATCGTGATTGTGGAACAACTTCAAAATACAAACACCACAAAATCTCACATCTGTATGGTTAACAAGAGGCACATTGCCGCACAGCTGGTGGGCAAGCATTGAGTGTCTAACTATTAAATTTCATCAGACTTTAAGGGGGAGATACAGTGCAATTTGTGTAGACTTCAAGTCTTAGAATTATCAATAACACTGACCATATAAATAAATTTTAGTTTAAACAATATTTTATTTCATCACTTGCACACTACATTACAATACAGTACAGATACAACGAGGATCCAAAAACAAGCTATAAGCTTATATTAATTCCTCTCCTCTAGTACAGTTGCAATAATTTACATGGACATTTACACACATCATTGATGAGACGGACAAAACATCTTTTATATAATGGAAAAATAGTAGTTATACATTATTTGATTGGTAGTAAAAGACATTGACAACGAGCTGTTACTTAGTAAAAAATAAAATTAAAATTGGTTGATAAAGATTCCTAGGGAATCGCATGTAAATAATTACCTTAGTGGTGTAAAGGAAAATTAATTTAGATATGCAATAGCCATTAAAATCTGCTGCTGTTGACGATAAAGTTCTGCATGGAAATGAATATTTCTGCATTTTTCCTATTATTTAGTGTGGGATCACCCCATAAAAGAACGTCTACATTATCATGAATATTGTATTTTAAGATTATATCAGATAAGTACTGCTGTCTGTTACGAGAATAATTAACACAAGTAAATACAAACCGAAAGTTGTCCTCTATCAGAAAGCCACAAACACATCAAGGTAAGTCAGAAAGGTTTTTGTGGAATAAATGTTGGTTTAATGAGTTACCTTTGAGTCAGAGTCTAGCATGGAGTATTTGACCTTTGCGACTACCAGTATAAAAATAGTTTGGTGCATGTCTGATACTGTTATTATCAAGATGTGTTTTTAGTACCTTAACTGATGAATTTTCTCTAGTATTTAGCGGTAGATCATTCCAGAGGCGAATTGAAGAAGTTAAAAAAGATTCATTATATAAGTTTGTTCGTTTTTGTACTGTCTGATGTAAGTCAGATCTACTTGTATGTATGATTGTCGGAAATTCTTCAAGGGACTAGAGAAGATAGATAGTTCGGCGATATTTTGTTGACCATTTTATGATACATGTACTGTATTAATTTGTGTTTTTTACAACAATCTGCTGATTTTTTCCATTTGGTGTCTCTGTATAGAAGTTCTATATTAGATAATTTGGTACCCCCTGTAACGATTCTGGCTGCCTCTAGTTGCACACTTTCTAATTTCTCACTTAGATAATTTGGTATATTGTCCTAGACTATGTCAGCGTATTCCAGAATTGGTCTAATAAATGGTAAATACATTATTTGTAATGAATTTCTATCAAGTTTGAATTTCAATTTTCTTAATACATTTAGACGTTTTGAAGCAGATTCTATCATATGATTTATATGAACATGCCATGAAAGATTTGATGAAAACCAAACACCAAGATGTTTGTGACTAGACACTTCAGAAATAACACTATTATTTAAGTAAAGATCACCATAGTCAGGTTTCAAAACTTTACGACTAATAAGTAAACTTTAGTTTTTGTTTGGATTAAAAGCTACCAGCCATTTATCAGCCCATTCTTGAATAGTATTAACATCATTATTTAACATATTTCTAGCCACCTTGGGATCGCCCACTATTATGTAAAGAGATGTATCGTCTGCAAAAAGATTAACTTTACATCTTAGATTAACAATAATATTGTTTATGTAAACAAGAAATAATAAAGGCCCAAGAATGGATCCCTGCGGAACACCTGCCGTAATAAATTTTTGAGATCTGAAAACTTCCCGCCCAAAACTACCCTTTGCTTTCTGTTTTCCAGATATCTTTCAAACCATTTGATAATTATATCCGATAAACCCGCTAATTTCAGCTTGTATATCAACCCTTCATGCCAAACTCTGTTGAAGGCTTTACTTATATCACAGAAGACTACACGAATTTCTTTACCAGAATCTAAAGCTTTCCCAATATCATTTGTAATATAAAGTACTTGATTTACAGCAGAGTCACCGAGAGTAAAACTGGACTGGTGTTCTGTAAAAAATGTTTTTTCTCTGAGAAAATTGTACACATATTTTTTTTTAAAATTTCCATTAGCTTACTGACAATACTTATGAGAGAAATGGGTCTGTAATTAGACACAATAATTTTGTCACCTTTTTTAAAAACGGGTGTCACATTAGCAATTTTCTAACTGTCTGGATAAATACTATCATTTATAGACTTATTGAAAATACAACAAAGTGGCTCACATAATTTATCTTTCCCTTCTTTTAAAAGTTTACCATGTATTAAGTCAGGACCGGTTGCCATTGATACACCAAGAACACCGATTACATCGCTGACATCTTGTGGTGTTATATTGAGTGTGTCTAGATGTGGGAGAGGAAATGCATTTTCTGAAGGAAGTGTAGCTGGTGAACTATTTATAGTGGACTGTTCGGAGTAGTAGGTGTTAAATGCTTCAGCTTTACATTGATCATTGTTAATAACCACGTCATTACATAATAAATGAGGGATAGAAGATTTCTTTGAAAACCCAGTTAACTTATTAGAAATAAATTTTGACCACACATGGCTGCAGAAGTCTTGTGAACATATCTAGTTACACAGACATTACACTGAAAGGGCCACTAAATGCTCCCTTTTAATAAAAATAACTGGCTTCCAACTTAACCCCCTACATATTTTATTGCCTTTTTTACATACCAATTCCATTGCTATGTAAAAAAGGCAATAAAATATGTTTAAAACCATAACAAGAGGCCCATGGGCCTTAACGGTNACAACAAGATTTACAATAAATGCCCTTAATATCACTTAGTTTTCTAGTACACATGCTCTTTCTTACGGCCTATAGTTCTCCCTTAACTCTAAAGGAACATGGTTACCTCCTTAGTTTAGCTTACCGTTGCCACTGGCATCCTCTGACATTGGATTAATCTCTACCAGTGTGGAGTCGTACTTGAGAAAGATATCATTGTACAGCTTTACAATAATGTCTGCTGCCTAGAATATAAAAGGTCAACAGATTAACTACAGATACAAGATTTTATTTTACCTTATACATTATCAAATTTCTACATCATAATACTGAGAAATCTGAAAACATCTTTTGAGTTACAATCCATGATGGGTATAGCATGCATGCTTAAATTATATACATCAAAAAGGTCTAGTGTACTGTACAGCGCTTTAAATTCGCAAACCCGGCTTCGTCCGCTAGTGACCTCACTCGAAAGAAAATCAAGTGTATTTTTACATGGACTGCCTAGTTGTTCCATGATAATCTAACTTGAGTTCATTTAAGCTTGCATAACAGCGTGGGGTTATAAATATTTTCAACATGTTGTGATGAGGTCCGTAAAAGTGGTTAACTTTTTCATTAATTCCGCTGCCGTTTAGATTCGCAGTTATTAGTCAAAGTGTAAATACAGCGAAATTAAAACCCCCGCGAAATATAACGGCTATACAGTATTTAGTTTACTCTACCTGATCTACACAGTTGGGACTGAAGCCCATAGACACTGCAAGATTGACAGCTAACTCTCTTGTAAGGCCTGTGAAAATGTCCACTGGTTGTTTCAGAATAGCAGTTGGATTTTCTTTTGCTACATCCTCGATGTTCATACCTCCCTGAGAACTCCCCACTAATACAGGGCCCTGCCAACAAAAATTTAAAACAAATTTCAAACACTCTTTATTATACTGTTGAAAACATTTTTTGGAAATGTTTTATAGAAAAAAGAAAAATATTTCATATCTTCTCGATGAAATATACGATAACACAAACGAACAGTTTGATTTATTCTTTCAGGTGAATGCTAATCCACAATAATAATAGTCATAACCTATTGGATAACAAACGGGGAAAAATGATTTATGTTTATTCTTTGAAATTTTCCTTGGGAAATAGTAATTTTATGTTCTTTTTCAAGTATGTCATGATAATCGTTTTTTAAATGTGGATGAGCCCTATTACTTAGACATCATTGGTTCTCAGTTAATGCTGTTGAGTTCAAAAGGACAAGCATAATAACAGGGCACAAATAACTTTTCCCCTGAAAAATCACTAGAAGATAGACAGTATGTTCACTCCTAATTCAACATTTTAAGCAGATATCTGTATTACATAATGAAAATTCAGAACTTACAGCAAAAGACCTCTCCATGGCAATGGCGAAGTAGAACTCCCTCCTTGAGTACAGTCTCTCCGACAACATGACGGTGTCACATTTCCTGCCAAGAGGTGCCTGTTTTGTGATCAGGTTGTACCCTAACATTTGTTCTGAAATTGTCTTGGCTTCCTCGTTTCTGACAAAACACAAAACTTGATTATTTGCCTTATTGTTCCTGACAGCCATAAGAAAATGTAAGAAAAATGGGTGTGGGGTCGGAGTCATATTTATAACATCTCTGTTTTATCAAAGTTAAAATGTATCATATTGATCAGGTTGACAAAAAAAGTTGGAGTTTAGAATATAAAGATTGTATTCAGACTGTATATGAATATATACAAACTGCTAGCACTTTTCACTTTTGATCATGCACCATGTTTAATATTTTAAAATTCTGTTGCACATTGTATAATTGAACTGAATATGCAATAGATTAGTCCATGTAAACTAAAAACAGTTAACATCGGGATATTTATACATGAACAAGTATAGTGAAAACAACAACTTCAAACACATAACCATCGTATATATTTATCCAATGTATATGGTGTTTAAATAGTTCAAACTCACGAGAAACAAATCTTGACACCTCCCTGGAGCCCACTGGTAAAGTGGCCCTTGCCTCGTCCCCCACTTAGCACTTGTGCCTTGACGACAACATCTGGAGCCCCTGTAGCCTTGACTGAAAATCAATCAGAAATTAAGACAGTTCAATGACTTTAAGCAGTAAAATATATCAATCATAATAACTACTACCAGAGTTTGGAATACCTTAACACATCAGCTGTAAAGAGACTTCTGCACACACATTTCAAGGGATGATTTTTCAAAAACTGAGCAAAAGAGCAAAATCATACTTGGGTATTCTGATAAAAAATACTGGTAATACTACTTTTTTAAAACACAAATCGACATCTTAAGACTTGTATGATTATTTTTATTTTTACAAAACACAGCAAGACATCACAGCAGTTGCTGCAATTGTTAGATCACAGTGCAATTTATGACTAAAATCTGGTAAGAATTCCCATTTATTACAGATATTTCACTGGCTATATTCATGAAAAAAATAAGAGGAATGGTATTAGTAATGAGGTTAATATGAAACATACTGAAATTAACTGCCTACTTTGTGTTGGATGCCAGCAACTTGAAAGCCCTGAACAATATGGTGAAATAGATATCCAGGCAGTCCTTAATAATGACCTTTACAGAAAATGAAAATGTTGGGAAGTAGAAAGACCTAAGAATAAGTTACTTTGTAAAAAAATCTTGTATAAGTGGCGTTAATATAATCCAAATGCTACTTACAAGAGGAAATCATCAAATTGAATTGAAACTGTTACTGATTGCAACGTACATGATCAGAACCAAGACATCTTTTTACCATTCCATAAAACATTCAACACAGGCTAGACTGGTCCCTGTCTCTAGAATGTTGAACTATTTAGAAAAAAAATAGCTCCATCAATTTTGATCACTTGGATGTCTGATCCTAAGTTTAATATCAATCACAGGGTTAAGCTAGTAGTAAAATGAAACTGGGAAATTCTTCATTAAAACTTTGGGACTGGTAGCCTGTCTAAACACAGGCAGATAATCTTCTCTTTACTCTTGAAGGCCATATAAATAAAATAAAAAATGAAAAAGAGGTAATTTCAAGAAAACCATGATATTGCTTGCTTACTAAGGTCCGTAGCCATTTCCTGCACATCTGCTGGATTCCCACATACTCTGTACTTGGGTATGGGGATGTCTGCATCCTTCAAAAGGCCAAAACTGAGATACTCATGGATGGAAAGGTTCCTCTGCTGCTGCTGTGGTTTACATGATGATGTGGGAGAAAAAGCAGCCAGAACCTGTGAAAGAAATATTTCATCAAAATCACATCTCTTTTTTCCAATAAGCAATCATTGATGTGATATCTTGATATCAAGCCAGAGTTTAATGAGACAGATTTCCCATTTGTATAGGAAAATATCTTACAGTAGCCATAAAATTAAAGTTGTCAATAGGCATTATGAGCTACAAACAATGCAGCTACCTTATACCCTCTTATCCTATACAAAAAGGTCAACTAGAACTGCACAACTTCCTAGTTCCATTGGCACTCATGTGTTCAAGGAAATTTCCACATTAAATAGCAGTATTTCAGAAAAAAAGTATAAATGGATATCAAAAAAATGGATGTAGNGTTTTTTTCAGGTATGTCATGATAATCGTTTTTTAAATGTGGATGAGCCCTATTACTTAGACATCATTGGTTCTCAGTTAATGCTGTTGAGTTCAAAAGGACAAGCATAATAACAGGGCACAAATAACTTTTCCCCTGAAAAATCACTAGAAGATAGACAGTATGTTCACTCCTAATTCAACATTTTAAGCAGATATCTGTATTACATAATGAAAATTCAGAACTTACAGCAAAAGACCTCTCCATGGCAATGGCGAAGTAGAACTCCCTCCTTGAGTACAGTCTCTCCGACAACATGACGGTGTCACATTTCCTGCCAAGAGGTGCCTGTTTTGTGATCAGGTTGTACCCTAACATTTGTTCTGAAATTGTCTTGGCTTCCTCGTTTCTGACAAAACACAAAACTTGATTATTTGCCTTATTGTTCCTGACAGCCATAAGAAAATGTAAGAAAAATGGGTGTGGGGTCGGAGTCATATTTATAACATCTCTGTTTTATCAAAGTTAAAATGTATCATATTGATCAGGTTGACAAAAAAAGTTGGAGTTTAGAATATAAAGATTGTATTCAGACTGTATATGAATATATACAAACTGCTAGCACTTTTCACTTTTGATCATGCACCATGTTTAATATTTTAAAATTCTGTTGCACATTGTATAATTGAACTGAATATGCAATAGATTAGTCCATGTAAACTAAAAACAGTTCTTTACATCGGGATATTTATACATGAACAAGTATAGTGAAAACAACAACTTCAAACACATAACCATCGTATATATTTATCCAATGTATATGGTGTTTAAATAGTTCAAACTCACGAGAAACAAATCTTGACACCTCCCTGGAGCCCACTGGTAAAGTGGCCCTTGCCTCGTCCCCCACTTAGCACTTGTGCCTTGACGACAACATCTGGAGCCCCTGTAGCCTTGACTGAAAATCAATCAGAAATTAAGACAGTTCAATGACTTTAAGCAGTAAAATATATCAATCATAATAACTACTACCAGAGTTTGGAATACCTTAACACATCAGCTGTAAAGAGACTTCTGCACACACATTTCAAGGGATGATTTTTCAAAAACTGAGCAAAAGAGCAAAATCATACTTGGGTATTCTGATAAAAAATACTGGTAATACTACTTTTTTAAAACACAAATCGACATCTTAAGACTTGTATGATTATTTTTATTTTTACAAAACACAGCAAGACATCACAGCAGTTGCTGCAATTGTTAGATCACAGTGCAATTTATGACTAAAATCTGGTAAGAATTCCCATTTATTACAGATATTTCACTGGCTATATTCATGAAAAAAATAAGAGGAATGGTATTAGTAATGAGGTTAATATGAAACATACTGAAATTAACTGCCTACTTTGTGTTGGATGCCAGCAACTTGAAAGCCCTGAACAATATGGTGAAATAGATATCCAGGCAGTCCTTAATAATGACCTTTACAGAAAATGAAAATGTTGGGAAGTAGAAAGACCTAAGAATAAGTTACTTTGTAAAAAAATCTTGTATAAGTGGCGTTAATATAATCCAAATGCTACTTACAAGAGGAAATCATCAAATTGAATTGAAACTGTTACTGATTGCAACGTACATGATCAGAACCAAGACATCTTTTTACCATTCCATAAAACATTCAACACAGGCTAGACTGGTCCCTGTCTCTAGAATGTTGAACTATTTAGAAAAAAAATAGCTCCATCAATTTTGATCACTTGGATGTCTGATCCTAAGTTTAATATCAATCACAGGGTTAAGCTAGTAGTAAAATGAAACTGGGAAATTCTTCATAAAAACTTTGGGACTGGTAGCCTGTCTAAACACAGGCAGATAATCTTCTCTTTACTCTTGAAGGCCATATAAATAAAATAAAAAATGAAAAAGAGGTAATTTCAAGAAAACCATGATATTGCTTGCTTACTAAGGTCCGTAGCCATTTCCTGCACATCTGCTGGATTCCCACATACTCTGTACTTGGGTATGGGGATGTCTGCATCCTTCAAAAGGCCAAAACTGAGATACTCATGGATGGAAAGGTTCCTCTGCTGCTGCTGTGGTTTACATGATGATGTGGGAGAAAAAGCAGCCAGAACCTGTGAAAGAAATATTTCATCAAAATCACATCTCTTTTTTCCAATAAGCAATCATTGATGTGATATCTTGATATCAAGCCAGAGTTTAATGAGACAGATTTCCCATTTGTATAGGAAAATATCTTACAGTAGCCATAAAATTAAAGTTGTCAATAGGCATTATGAGCTACAAACAATGCAGCTACCTTATACCCTCTTATCCTATACAAAAAGGTCAACTAGAACTGCACAACTTCCTAGTTCCATTGGCACTCATGTGTTCAAGGAAATTTCCACATTAAATAGCAGTATTTCAGAAAAAAAGTATAAATGGATATCAAAAAAATGGATGTAGCTCAAAACAACGACATGTGATAAAAGATAACAAAAAAACTGTGGATACATAATTTGACTGTGACAGAGTTTGGTTGTATTCGTTCATATTAACTTTCAGTCCAAACTGTTGTGGGGAAGAAAAAATGGCACCTGATATTGATTTTGTAAGAGGGATCTTAGAATAAATTCATTATTGGAAAGTTCGTGAACATGAATGCGTAGCAAAACTTGACTAGGTTGACTGTTGGCAACCAGGTAGCTCAATTGGTAGAGCATTTGTCTAGAGTTCAGAGGGTCCCTGGTTTGAACATTTTTCTTCCTCGAGTCCTTTTACAAAATTGGTGAGCTTGTTGCCAACCCTTGTTTCAAGCAATGAGTGAATGCTTAGCAAGGGGATATCTGAACCCGAGTGTACGGGAAAGAAGACTCACGTAAAGGAAGGATCCAGGTAGCTTTGCCCTAAATCCTGTTTGCACTACGGGTTGTTTTGCCCTAAATCTTGTTTGCCCAAAGTTGTTTTGCCCTTATAAAATTATATATTTTAAAGTTTCGAATAACATTTGAAATATTTTTTATTATCAAAAAAGCTAACTATTTCTCATGTTTCATCACAGAACTGGATCTTAGTCAGTGGTTTTCACAAGCAAATGTCTTGTCGAAAGAATTCCATGCTACATTGTTTGTGCAGATCTGGACAACCATGTACAAATCTAACAAGTCTTATAACAAATAAAAGATTAGGGAGATCTAGAAAAAATCAAATAAGACTATATTAACCAAAAGCAACTAAAAAGGACTTCAGAATTTCACCCTAAAAATTAACAAGAGGCCCATGGGCCTTAACGGTCACCTGAGTCTACAGTATTTATTTTTGTTGTTGAAATATGTACCAATTTGAGTAAAAAAATAGTATAATGTTAACTTAACTTTGTCAGGACCATGAGCTGATCATTCCTATACCAATTTTAAGTGAGATCGGCCTATTAGAACTTAGTAGCAAAATAGCGGCCATGGCAGCCAAATTGTATTTCTGATTGACCCGAAAAATAACAACACTTTGTCAGGACCATGAGGCGATCATTCCTACCAACTTTCAGTTCAATCGGCCCAGCAGAACTTGACTTTAAGTTTGAAATGTAAAATGTTAACGGACGACGGACGACGACGGACGAAAACGGATAGCAATAGGTCACTTGAGCTAAAGCTCAGGTGACCTAAAAACTTAGTGCGATACGACCCAGGGTGAACAGTATTTAGGGCGAAACGACTTGATACCAAAAGGAGTGAGGAATGTAATGGAACTGGACTGGGTGGATCGTCAGTGACCAGGTAGCTCTATTAGTAGAACAGCTGTCTAGAGTTTGGAAGGTCCCGTTTTCGAAACCCAGTCTGGCCTTTGCATTTCTCTTTCTCCTGTTTAATCTGGTTACTCTTGCTCAGAGCACATGTCGGTCTTTCAATATGGCAATAGTGTGCTAACAATTTTGTGAACTATGCAGGTTTCTAATGTTTGAATGTTAAACAGATGTCACGGTATATGTCTGTTGGTGGCATGGCGATGCACCGTCTCCATCCCATGGACGTATAATTATTTATATGGATCTCAAACTGTGTTTTTATCTTCAAAAGACGTTCACAACGACATCTGTCATTTGAGAAATGTAAATCTTTGTTTCTTAAACGAAATTGAGTATCATGGAACTATCTACAACACCAATACGCTAATCAAATAAAAAAACATCATATAAGTAAAGATATAGCATGAAAATAGAAATCTGACAGAAAATCCATTTTGTAAACAAATCAAGGACTCTTGATCATTCGGGAAGGACACACTATTTCAAGAGCATGGAAGGTGTTTTTTTCACTTTCTTTTGCGGAAGCCAACTGCCATATGAAACATGTGTCTTCTAAATTGTTTTTAAGCCATGCAAAAACTTATTTTGTGGCGCTTTACCCTGTGAGTAGTCTGTAAGTTAACTTTTTCTGCTATCCGTCCACCGGTCCGAAATAGAGCGGACGCCATATTCGAATATGACGTCACTTCCTCCGTATCAGACTAAGTCCAAAAATGGAGCGAAATCCGGAAAAAATAAGAGCAAACATTCCATCCCGGATTGTCGGCTAATGAGGCGTTAAAATAAAATATTGTTGATCATAGTCATAAACAAATAAAATATCGCTAGGCCCATATCAAATAACAACTGTCAGTACCTGGATAAATTTACCCAGAGACAATAATATATGCAATATATACTGTGACGTCTCCGATCCATGATTTACCTAACATAAGTTTATCATGATCCAGGAATTCTCATCCGAGGGGCGGGAAAACGATAGTAGTAACTGCCGAATTTGTTTAAATGATCTTTATACAAGCAATAGACAGATTAAGTCCGTGCATTGCCATACAAAATATAGTAGGGAGAGGGGCAATATTCAAAATGCATACATGAATTATATATAGCTTCTCCACCTTGTATGATTTATGTGATGAGTTGATAATGATTGAGTGTACAGAAAAATAAAAATAATTGGCATTGCATGGTCAGCTTTCAATATAAATTTATTTTTCCCATATGCTTACAAATGTATATAGAAATTATCAGATTGTAAATATGTATTTTCTAATTTAAAGAAGTTGCACCAATCATTTTTCACGACAAGATGACAGGATCTGAGCTTTTCTCATCTTTTTATTTCTACATCTTATTATAAGCATCAAAAGCTGCTCAATGTTTTGAAGTGTGTGTTGGGGAGAACCATGATTATTCTGAATTCACCATGATATCAGAGACGTATATATCACATATACGTCTCTGATGATATGATATGTATCCGACGCACACAAGACACGTAGTTCAGCGCTCTTACTATTGATCATAGCACATATTACAATAAGTAACTGAAGTATACGCATGCAGTGGACAATGCACATGGAAATAATCAATAATTGATTGATATTTTTTTTTTATTAAACTGTCCAAAGTTATCAATTTCTGAAGTACTATCCTCGAAACTCCTGACGAGAGTTTGCGCTCTCTTACCGACTGTCATATGAATTTGCACTCACCTGGAATATATACTTGTCACCAGGAATTCGAAGGATCTGCCAACGCCATCTTGTAAATGAAATAAATACATGTAACCAGTTTGATATAAGATGTAAATTAAAAGAATTGCACGGCAGCGTAACGGTTAAATTAGCTGGCTTTGAAATCGGATGTCACTCGTCTGTAATCTTTAAAGGACAAGTATCAGCCTAGTGCTTATCATTATTTTTTTGTACCCGAAACCAATCATGCCATGACATATACCAGGGGTGCAGAAAACGTAAACTGTGAGCGAAATCCCTGGGATTCCCAGGGTGTCACCTAAACTATCTTTAAACACTATAAGGTTTATCAAGTTACGTTTCAACGTTAGCATTTTATTGTAATGAAATAGTTACATCAAGTAAGATCTCATAAAGTGAAATATCTGCATGACTTAATTTATTCGCTCAAAGTCCATATCTCAGGTCGCTGATTGATGGAGATGGTCGGATACATCACAATAGGTACAGCGAACGCTATACGGTGTTCCGGAGTGATCGAGGTTCACGATGTCTGTCCCCCACCCCCACCCCCATCCCACCCCTCTCCGTCAAAGTATTCTATTTCAATGTAACTTCACATATAACATGATGACAATATAGCGACATCTTCACTGTATTTCCAACTACTGTTTAAACAAAAAAGTAGTCAGAACGTTTTATTGTAAAAAGGGGTAAAAAATAATCAAATATTGATTGCTTTCAACAAAATCCATATGAACATTAAATTGCCGTCTTGTTTTGTTACTTCTACATGAGATGTATTCCCCCTGTAATATTTCACATAATACTCACAGTGTAAAATCATAAGTTTTATCATGTTGATGGAATGCAATATCTCGTTGGCAAAATGCCATAAAGTAGGGTAGGTTAAATTAACGTATACATGTGTGTATACTGTGTAGTAATAACGACAGTGCAAACATGCAAAGGGATTTTCAGGGCAATCCTTTTACAAGACATATAACAAAGAGATCAATGCGAAACGATTCTACAGCATAAAATACATAAACCACAAACAAACAAGAAGAGAAAGCTTACCGAGAGAATATACGATAACATAAACATATTTCATATAAGTGATAACAGTTTTTTCATATATTTTCTCTATACTAAGTGACACTATCTAGCTTCCTTATTCGCTGTAGACTGTTATTTTTGGATGGTGAACGAAATATCCCCAACCGATTTACATAATTACACAATTCTATGAAATCGCCATCCAAGTCTTCTCAGGAAATAACAATTAAAAACAGAATGTTCTCTTATTTCTAACAAGCATTAGTTCAAACGTTATACTATTGGACATGTATGAAATGATGTAGCCGTTTTTTTACTTATCATGGATCGTGGATGATTTAAATAATTCATATTATCTATATTAAATATGTATAGATATAATTATGTATTTTTCCTGTTGAACTTAAATGGTATAATATTTGCTTAGTATTTCAATCACAATATCCAAAAATATGGTTCACCACGGACTTAGCTAATCTTATTCCGTGGGTTAACCAATATATACGCTCCTAAATTCGATAATAAATTATCATGAATTTCATGGCTTAATTGTCGTCCAATGCAAACGGATTTAGGTATTTTACCTACGTATTGAGAGGCTATTCTTGTTATTAAGGATAGGATTTAAAAAAGAATAAGATTGTGTGATGTTTACACACATAAAATTAATCAAACCAACCGAAAGAAATTTCCACGTCTATAAATAGATCAAAAATTCCCGATGATAATTGCATAAAGGGAGACAATCCCCATGGATTGAAATAACCTCTGGTTAAACCACAATCAATATAAATAAATGAAAGTATCTTGTTCATTGCATGAGAACACCGACATACCTAGGTAAAGTATGAACTTATTATTATTATTATTAGCAATATTGTTACAGACTTGTTTTCATTTTATTGGCACGTATTCATGGCAGGATTCAATATTTCTGTTCTTAATTTCACTGCCTTTTATTTCATTACAACCACTTTAATTTATTTTTGTCGGCGGTATTACTATACGACTAGAAACTTGTCAAAGGAAATTCATAAGTAATTAATATATTTCATATATCCATACTATCAAATGAGTTTAAGGAACAATTTGAGGTGGAGATTCTGACAATTTGACATTTATCGTCTGAAAATTTGTATTTTAATTGCATTACATTATACAGAAAAATCATTGGTCACATCCGAACAAAGGAAATTGATATTCTACCAACTTAGCGCGCGTCTACAGACGGATTCAGCTTTTACCACAGGGGACCTCATAAGAAATGTTGGGGGGGGGGGGGGGGGGGGGGGGGGGNGAGTAATATAAGACGTTTAAGGGGTTTAGATCCACTCCTTGATGATATATACCAGGAAACGGAGATTATGTATGCGCAATAAGAATACATTTCAGGTGGAATAGAAAGCTTGCAGAAAGACAAATATTCATTGCACTGTGCTTTTGAAAGTAAGATGGGGTTGGTTCTCTTCCCACCCTTTTAGGATACAATCATTGAGGGATCTAAAACCCTAAAACATATTACATTATTCTGGACACAAGTTTCATTCCAAACATATCTGCTGTAACAAATGCTTGGGTCCACGTGGCTTATGTCAAGTCCAATACGTTAGAAGTGTAGCAAAGGATTCGACCATATTGATAGAAATCCAATCTCCTGTACATACGTACTGTAATGTTTAGTGTACATAAACAATCTTAACATGTAGCTCTAATTTGTGTGCAGTAAAACTGACATATATAACATATAAACATTGTAACATTTTAAAACAATCTCAATCCGTGTTGTAACCCATTAAAATCCCACCTTTGTGTGATATTTGAACGTTCTACATCAATCTGAAACACATTTTGTTGTTGTTTGTTTTGCTATTTTTATGTGTGTGTGTTTATTAATTTATGTTGGAATCAACATCAGTCTTCACTGGTGGCCGTATCAATAGAATTAAAGTTCCAGAACTATGATATCAAAAAAAGTTACCCTAACACGTATATATCAATTTTAACATTATTATTTATATTTATAGATTATATTAAATATATCATACATTGGAGGAAAACGACGGAAATGTATCATAGGTATTGATGACAACTTGTGTATGTATACTGTTTTTTAAAATAACGTCCCAGTTAATTTCTATTGCAGTTCCTTTCATGATGAGTTATCGGAAGTCAACACTTGGGATTTTCCTAGCGTGCATTGGACTCTTTTCCGGATATGTCATTAGGCGCGATTCCTTGAAATCGTTCCGGAACGGAAGGTCACATGACCTTGACACGTTCAACCCTTCACATGACCTCACCCGGAAAAGCGTGCTAGTAGATACCACACCTGATGAATACATAGAACTTGTTTTATTGATGCAAGTGGATTTTAACGATACCTTCGTTCCATGTCAAATAATAACGTTTTACCGCTTTATTTCAGTATTAATTAATCAGTTTAGTAGCTTCGGTTTTAGTTCAAGAAATGAACATCAGAAAACGAAACAAAATCCAGATTCATGTACTAGTCATATAACCGAAATAGAAACTACTTCAGAATGGATTCACGGAAGGAAAAGGGCAATTCATGTTTCTCGCCAACGTGCTAATGAAAACGCAAATCACTCGGACGATTTTTCCACTGATAATGGAACGCGCCAGACTTTACAGATACCATACTTCAAGCTTGACCATGTAGCCTTGGAGCTGAAAACAGGAATTAAGTTATCAGTGACATTGTTTTTTATTTTAACTAGAATATTTTGGATGATTTTGCGAAATGTTCCACGACATTTTGACAAGACAGGAGCAAGGGCTGTAAAGGGGGATACACCAAACAGCACTTATCACTGGGGATTGCTTAAGTATTTTCTAGAATCGTCTAATTCGTTTATCGACTCAGTAACCACAAAAAGCTGTAGTAGCATGAAAAAAGTGTTGGAAGATACCATGTCGACCTTATCACCGCCCCCACAAGACATCGTAGTGGCACCAGTCACAGAGTTAAACGATTATTTTGAAACGACGAGTCACATGGACACATCCAATATTGACATTTCTTTGAATATTGAGATTTTACGGATAGAAAGTTTTCGTAACTTTTCCCGCTCGGCTCCAGTTAGTACAATACGTCTTGCAGAGAATGGATTCTTTTATACAGGGAAATCAGACGAAGTTGAGTGTTTTCATTGTCATGTTAGGTATAGCGGATGGAGTAGGGGCGACACACCATTTGATATTCACAAGAAAACATCACCTGATTGTGATTTTGTTCGTGGGATGGAAACAGTAAACGTCCCATTGTTGCAGCCATCTCGCAAAAATTCAAATAAAGAAGACGGCACGACATGCGAACGTGCGTGTACCCGAGACGTTTGTGGACCACCGGAAATGGGGAATGATGCAAAAGTGAGCGATTATCAGTTTAGGAGCAAACCAAGCTCAGATAAGCTGCATAGCAACGCAGTGTCAATCGAGTCACAAATCATTTCTTACCGCAACACTATCGAAAATGAGCGTCATAGCAACGCAAGCGTTCCTGCATCGCATAGCAACACAGATGACATTGCATTGCACATTATCAACGGAGGGAAAAGAAACCAAGCGTCCGAGGAAGGCAGGGTTTTTGAAAACGAGGCAGGTGGAAAAGAGGGGGGCAACCTAAAAAATCTCCAACATTCGGAATGCATTGGTAGAAGACAGGAGAAAAATGCTTTAACAGGCAAAGAAGATGTCAAAATAACATATTTGGATGAAAACAATACAAATCAGACTGACTGGCGGACAAAATATTCCGGAAAGCTCCGACTTGCACCACTAGCGTATGTGAGAAAATCTTTAATGTATCCTGCTTATGCAATCCCTACCATTCGTCTCAGTTCATATAAAGGCTGGTCGACGACTTCTGGACATAACCCAAGGTCTCTGTCAGACGCCGGGTTTATATACGCAGGTGAGTGAGTCGAGATATCCCGATTCGGGAGAGAGTTCTACATTTATCGCTTCATCTCGTATCACACATAACTGTGAGATGTAGCGTGTAATTTTTCCTTAAGTGGAACGAATTAACTATGACAGTATACATATTAATTGAAAATGTCCATTTTTTTTTAGATTTTATGCTCATGTATGGGAGACCGGGGCAAGTTCGGCCCGGGGTAAGTCCGGCCATCCCGGACATTTTTGGTCATGAGCAAATATTTACAACTTTAGGGATCTTAGTAGTTCAGTTAACTGGTCGGGAAAATTCTAAGAAAAATTGGCGAGGAAATTTCAAACATTATTTTACTAAAACGAAGAAAGTTACTTTTGAAGGGTAGAAAGAAATGTGAACTTTCCGTAGGGATTTAGATTTTATAGGGTTAAACGTCCTATCCATAGCTAAGGTCATTTAAGGACGTGCCTCCATGTGTATTGTGTAAGCGTGCATGTGTGTATGTGTGCTGGATAAGGGTATGTTGGTGTAGTTGCCTCATTGTAATAGCGCGGATCTGATGCTGACTTTATAGTGCTATCTCACTGAAATACCATGCCGAAGTCACCCAGCAAAGCATTCCGGCCGGTCACGTTATACTGACAACGGGTGAACCAGTTGTTGCCATTACTCAAAAAGCTGAACGCTAAGTAGGGAATGACAACTACCACTTTAAAGGACAATGGTATGTCGCGGCCTGGAGACAGAACATATTGCCTTTCTCACCTGGGCGAACGTTCAACATTAAAGCCAAAAATGAGGTGTTGCCAAGTAAGGCGCTAGGAAATAACAGGTAGTTAGAAGTAGAGAGAAAGATAAATACAAAATATTGCAATGGATGCAGCAGATTTATTTTGGTCGCTTATGTGTCCCCAAGTAGAGGGCACAAAAGCCAATCCCCAATTTGGCATGGGGTTCCCCACAATACTGGCCTCTTAAGATACAACATGTAATGGGTAACAATAGGTGTATTCTTTCTCGATCCTCGACCTGCGTAAACCTAATTTCTACCTAAATATGTCATACGCGTAACATATATTATTCTAAAATGTACGAAAAAGGGATGCAAAAGGATTTGTTTTAAAGTTAGTTTACCTCGTGACACAGGGCGTACACATAGACAGCTTCACATGACGGTATATATAAAAGCCTAGCGTTGACTTTCATTTTGCTATAATATATTAATTTATTGAAATATCAACTTTTGGGAAGGTTTGGCCAATGAAACTGGGGCAAGTTCGGCCCATGCAACACATAAGAAGTCGCTTTGGCGGGAAAAATCTGACGTTGAATGCTTTATGACATCATAACTATTCTGATTCCATCGTTGGCCGATATAACCACAGACAGCCTGGCCGAACTTGCCTCAAGGCAGGGCACGTTCGGCCATCAAATCTTTCAACAGAAAAAAAATAATTATACCTCAAATACGGACGTGTTTGCCCTTTTGTAATAATTTTATGACAGGCAATGGATTTCTCTTCCGAATGATTGATATACATATACCATTCAACAAATGCCATACTATCTAGAACGACTTCAGTTCAAATGGGCCGAACGCGCCCCGGTCTCCTCTTTTGAATAAAATTAATTTTCATTTATTTCTAAAGCGTTTCAGAACACGTAAAGACTACTCAGTTTCGGACTAACATTTTTGGTCTGTGAAGTCATAAAGTAAACATTTGATACACCAAAACAATTCGTCACCAGGAAATACAAATCTGACGACCTATGGCGATAAAAATAATTTAATGGATAATGAAGCAAATGCATGTTCATTAGTTTCCAAGAAATCAAGTATTATTGAGGCTTTTGTTACGTGGAAATAAAATTCCCTGTATGCATACAAGTGTATTTTTAATTAACAGGAAGATATGAATACGGATGCTTTCTAACAGGAAATTATTTATACGGAGCTGATACGCTCTAGTGCCTTAATATGAAACTTTTTGATAACAAGACTTTAATGTTATGCTACAGGTTATGGGGATCTAGTCCGGTGTTTCTGTTGCGGAGGAGCTCTCCGGAACTGGTTGCCAGGAGACGACCCTTGGATTGAACATGCTAGATGGTTTCCGGAATGTGTGTACCTTCGGCAGAGCAAGGGAGATAATTTTATACTCCTGGTCCACGATGACGTCACGTTGCCACAGGTAAGAGTTTATAATAAGGAAGTTAGTTGCAATAGGGCTTGGTAGTTTCCCAAATTGTGCAATTGTCGCCGACGATCGACCCAGTCCAGTCCATTCATATGACAGTTTGAAATGAGATAATGAATGTAAAATATGATAACGAATGCGTAAATGAATTGTTGGTTATTTCCATCTTATGTATAAGTTTAAAAAGTCCCTATGTATTCATTATATGTGGCCTTTTATAGATACTGTATATATGTGTGTCGCGAGTAAATGTTTCCAATCAAGTATATTCAGTTTAATGTTATCATACATGTAATGAAGTATGTCTATAAGGTCAGCAATGAAATAAAATGGCATTCACTACAAAACAATTGATGCAGAATTATTATACAATCAGACAAATTTCAAATCTGACAGTATTCATTGTATGGCCTCAACACTTTTCATTGTTATTTATTTAAATATTGTATCTTATCTAATTAATATATGGAATAATCAGTTACTTGAAGAGGTGGTAAATATCAGCTAAAGTACTTCTAACAATAATTAAATGTTCATAAGATATTTCATTGTAAAGACAAAAATGAGCAAGCCACAGGCACGAATGCAAATAAAAATTAGATTTTTAATTTGGTTTATGAAACATCAGCTTTGTGCATTTTGTCTTAAGTAGAGACACCAAATCAACAGAACAATGTATAATGAGCTGTTATTTTCGATATTGAACAATATACTTGTCAGCTTTGACTTTAATAAACGGGATTTTACATTTCATTTCCCTTGTGATTTTTGTTATATATTTTATAAATTTCAGATGAGCAGTCACAACAAAAGTATAACCCCCCAGTCAGCCACAGGAGAGGCAGGTAAGACGACTTATATATATATATAGTATGGAGCGCATATTTTTTACTGTGTGTATAAAGTCCAAGTAATTACACGTATACTACATAATTTAGCGCGAAATCATTAACACAATTATGAAAATAATAATAAGAAAAATGGGCTCGCTTTGTATCGTGTATGAAACATGTAAATGATTAAATCCAGTGAAGATTAAAACTATGTATTATATTATTGAGCATAATTCGCAATGAAAGTAGTTAAAAATTCTAAAACATTGGCAATAAACCTATTCTCAAAACCTTTGATATCTACGATAGATATCAGGATATGTAAAATTAAAAAAGACACAAGTTTGATATCCGAGATGATACTGGCTCATTTTGTTCACAATTCAATGTTTGATATGATATTTAGATACAAAATATGTACAATCTGCTTTAAATTGAAAAGACCGTCGTATCTAACAAGTAAAGGACATCTTCTCTTATTGCAGTTATTTGTCAAATTAGCAACAAATGATGTTATTGTGCAAAACGAAGGGAAACACGATTTGATGATCCTGTACTGCTTCCTTAAATAATTTCGTGAACTGTGGATGTTTGTTATTAATTTGATGTATTATGTAGATTCGTCCCCGGTACCAGAAAACGCAAGACACTTTAGTCCGGATCCAGTCGATCAGAGCGTGGAGGATCCGTTCACTCAGAGGGTGAAGGCAATGGGATTCTCGATGGACACTATTTTGTCCGGTGTGACGTCACTACAAAGACGTACGTATCTTTATTACAACGTCTGAATTAATTGATGTATTACGTCTATCTTTCCGCAAAGAATAAACTACAAAAAAGAAGGTCGAGAGAAGTCATTGTTTCTTGACCCCGTTGTCCAAAGTACACTCCACGATCTGAATAAGAAATAGGTTGTTATCTAATAACTTTTATCATTCTCTGCTTCCGAAACAAACTATTTTTGCTAGTTATTCCAAATGTTCGCAACACTGTATACTAGCTAAGCAAGCTTCTGTGTTTCAATCTTGCTGTATACAGATTAAAAAGGATAGGAATAATCTTGAGCATCCTTTCCTCAAAAACGTTTATTCTGTTAGAATAAGGATTTTTCTTCTTCTACCATGCCTCATACCAAACTAAAGGAACGCATTTGCTCTGATGTTATGAGGATTTACTTTACCAAGGAGGTGAACGGCGATTGTTGCTAACCTTGTTCTGGCTTTGAGGGGGTGTTATTACTTAGATTTGACATAACTTCCTGAACATCTTTTCTTATTTTCATTGTACTTTTCAAGGGTCTCCACTTATGCAATTGATTTGTTTATATTATGCCCTAGTTTTATCAATTTCGAATTACGATTTCGTTAATGTATGTTAATGATAATGTAATGTATTTATGTATTTCTCTGTTGCATGATATTCCGTCTTTCCGTCTAATGAAGTAACATTCAATACCTGATCCCAAGAGAAGATAACTCTGCAATACGCAAAGACCGAATAGACCATAAAGAGTTTTCCTACTCGAAAATGAAAGATGTAGTCATTCACTACGATACTGTCATTTTCAAAGTTATATTAAACCCATTTATAGTTGGGAATATTGCTTTTTCCGATCTCAGTTTCCCCACAATTACTACTAATTATGTAAACAAAGACATGAGGACACAGTTACCTTTGTTCTACATTAAATCTTATTTTCTCATTTTCTTTTTCAGAAGGAAAGCCGATAGACGCATTCAACATTATAAATGAAATTTTATGTTCGGAAATTATCCCCGAACGGGTCGGACTGGACGACATCGATAGTTTTCAAAAGAAACAACAAACCGTGCGGAGAAACAACAGACAAGTTCAAGGTTAGTATCCGACCATTTATTTACCTGTTTATTTTTTCTTTGGGCGTTTGGAGAAAATGAAGACTAATTATTGGCAATTCCTTTCCCCCACAAAGGACATCTTTCATTGATGCTATCACTGAAAACACAGTGATGTATTTTAATACAAATATAAGCCAAAAGTTTCCACGTTTGAAGTCGGGACAAAAAGTTCAAAGGTACTTGTCACGATTAATTGATTATGCTATGGGAAACGTCATAATTTAATGGCTCGGCATATGTAGAAATGTTATTGCATACTCGAAAATCGAATTTAGAACTACCGAAACATTTTTGTACACCAAACCATACATAGTTTGCAAACGAAATATATATTCACATATGTAAAATATAAATTTGGTTTACAAAAAACAGATTTTGTATAATGGTATTTTGTCTGACAAATATTTTCTGGTTGAATATCCATGCCATTTATTCTGTTATTTTATTATGTTCAAAACCAAAGCACACAATTAGTTAAAAACATGAAGTCCATATCTACTTCCGGTTTTCAGGTGCAGAAAAGCCAATTCTGCGGACCAAGAATAAATGTAAAATTTGTCTTGGGGAGGACGCATGCGTGATGTTCTTGCCATGTCAACACGTGATATGCTGCAATGAGTGTGGTCCAGTACTTTACAAGTGTCCAGTTTGTCGCCAGGTCATCAAAGATCGTCTGGAGACCCAATAAAATGCATTGATCGTTACTATTAGGACAGAAAGTTAATTTCCAATTGCTGTCGTTGAATAATTGATACTTACAAGTTATGAGATCAACCTTAAAAGTGTTATTATGTTGTTTGATTTAAATAATTGTGCATCAAAACCAGTATTGATATTCCTAGAAAATAGATAGAACGCAGCTGCCACATACCTTGATCTCCGAGGAAAACAGCGAGCACTGGAGTTAGCTTTATACCCAGACACTTTCGTTTTTGAACGGTCATAAATGGACATAAGTTGTTGTATGTATTTTATAAGCATAATCTACCTCATTTGAAACAATAATGATGTTTAAACTGTATAGGTGCTTGAATTCGATATGAATTTCTGAATTATTATTATGATCACATTAAGTTTATTAATAATACACATTATCTGCATTTTAAGTGTGTTTACTAGACCCTCTCGTTTTAACATTGAATATGTCTCCTGGTCAGTAGGTATACTGACAATATTATTTGTTGTAACTAACACTATATCTCCTCGCCACTAAGTGTGTTTACAAGGCTCTTAAGATGTTACATTTCATATGATGTTTGGTCAGAAGGTATACTGACAATATGCTTTGTTGTAAAATATACTCTATAACCTCGCCAGTTAGTGTGTTCACTAGACTCTTTAGATGTAACACTAAATATTCCTAGATTGTTATACCTTATCATGCTATTTAGTGGAAATGGTCATGTTGCCTGGATTTATTTTTTGTTACCGACATATCGGTATTACTTTGATATTAGTTTGATACATATCATAAATAAATTGGTTGTTATTTTATATTTTTAGTATCTTTGAAAAACATTCTCTGATATTTATTTTGTTATTGCGATGAGATGTGTGCCGACACGCGGAAAGATATACAGTATATTATTATTAGTTTAATTGTATGACATTGAGTAAACACATAACATAAGCATACAATTGTATTTTGCGTAACAGCTTCCAAAATTTATTGTAGTACTTTAGTGTTTTTAATTCATATTGAATAAAGTGTTTGTTCTATTTACGTATTTTTATGTTATACTGGTGTATGTTACTGTAACTGACAATGTCATCATTCACTGGTCGGGCGACCGAGTCGGTAGAGCACGCGCCTTCATAAAGACGACCGGGGTTTCGATTCCTCAGCCGAACGTGAAAAAGGTACTGTGTCACCTGGTTCACATAGTTCTTTTCAACGGATGTTCTAGTTTCCTCTCGCATTAATACCATGCGCGTTACTATTCAGGTCAACAATATTGATTAATAAAAGTTGGAAGAACTTGTTTCATAATTTCTGTAAAGTAAATAAATTTACATTATATCTATTCACTGGAAATGACTACAGTCGCTAGCATCCAAGATGACGAAAGACAAAAACGGCGAATTTTGTGTGAAGAATTATGTTTGACGGCAATATTAGAAACACGTAATAACAAAACCTGCATTTGAGATATGAATTTGAAAGCATGCCCTCTTTAGAATAATAATTTGGAAGTAGATGTCGAGTACAAAATAGATCCACGAGGGATGTGGTATATACATATATGAACATCATGATTATGAAAGTATCTGTCGATTATCACTTAAGTGGAAACTAATTCATTTATGAAAGGTATAGCTTATAACTTAGAGTGTACGTGTGACATATCATACATGAATTGGCTCAAATGATTGCTAGCTACGGTTTGTTTATCATGACTAAAACTTGGTCATATACTTATATTTTGTATATCAAAAGATAATACTGATAAGATACGCTATGTAAATATCAAGTGGTTATATAAGAGATTAATTTCCAGTCAACAAAAGCAGTACATTGCGAATGCCTCTGTGGAAAATGTTTGCATCTTGTTACAAGTTGTTTTTTTAATCCAGACGTGTCATCATATGACGTTTCTTTAAATGACTAAATTTGTGTTTATTATATACAAAGACAAAAATTTTTTACTCTAACATACTGTTATTATTTTTCTTTAGAGCGATAAATTATCTTCCGATTTAACGTGAAATGGTGAACTCAACTTGTGATAAAACTGTTATTAGATTGTAATTCTTTGTCAACCATGAACTGATTCATATAGTTTAAACCATATTTTATTCATGTCAATAAACGTGTACAATTACATAGACATTTCATTCTGATAAATAATAAAATTCATATTCAAACCTTCGTGATTTATGCAATATCTCCTCAGTTACCCTAATATCAGCTGAAATGTTCTGGTCAGTTACCCATATCGTCAATTTCCCTAGCTACCAATAGCATCAATTGCCCAAGTTACACATATAATGCTGCCTTATTACTGTCATTAACAACTGCATTACACTCATTATCTAACGCATATCGATTCAAAATAAGTACAAAAATAATGTGAGTGATGTTTCTGATGCTTTTATAATAGGATGTGATCAAACCTATTTTTCATTTCTAAAACATGGTGTATGAAAGTAACTTTAATTAAAGGATCAAATTATCTCAATTGATCACTAATAATTAATGTAAGAATGTCAAATCTAGTACCCCATAGTATCTAGCAGCGACAACATTAGTAGCTACTGAAAGCGCGATCGTCGTAACTTACAGTGGCATATAACTATTTACTATAATGTAAGGGCATTAACTCCAGAATTCCATTGTATCTTATAGCATTATTATTAGTATCTTGAGTAATATTTTCAGTTTTAACAAGGCCTCGCGTACGGTACGAATACCCTCCTACCAGAAATGATATGAAGATGTGTGTAAAGTTTCGCTATGATCAGAAAGGAAAGGAAGTGTAACAGGAAAGGAAAATGCACGGCCACACCGGGGTTTGAACCCGGGACCCTCCGAACTCAAGACGGATGCTCTACAAATTGAGCTATCTTGTCGCCGACGATCGACCCAGTCCAGTTCCGCTACATTCCTCCCTCCTTTAACAAAGTCTTCGACCCAGAAGACACACGAGACCCTATACCATCTTCTGTGAGTATATTTCTTTGGGCGCCAAATGTAACAGGAGAGGAAAAATGCACGGCCAGACGGGGTTCGAACCAAGAATCCTCCGAACTCTAGACGGATGCTCTACCAATTGCGCAAATTAAATCACATCCCAACTCATATCGTAGAGACAGAAAATCACAACACGTTGGTGGTATTATGATATTTACTAAAAACAACCTCTTAATAAATCACCGAACTGATCTTGAAACTGAAGACATAGAACTTATCCTAGAAATTAACACTTCTAACAAAAAAATACTTCTCTGCTGCCTTTATAGACCTCCTAATACAAAAATAGATTACTGGAATAAACTTGATAACATTTTGAATAATCTTTCTAATACTAATCTTAATATCATCACTGGTGACATAAATGTTGACTTTATCACAATGAAACCTAATTCACATCTTGCAAGATTAATTACTAAATATCACCTAAAAAACTTAATACAATCACCAACACGCATTACAAACACTACTGCTACCTTAATTGATGTATTTAATACTAATAATGTTATCATTTTTACCTCGACACAAGTACTTTCCCCTCTCTGTAGTGATCACTGCCCCATCCTTGCTAACATTTGTTTTAAAACACTAAAAAATAAATCATTCAAGAAACCTAATTCTTATCCACTAAAATCTAACAATAAAATATGAATCCATCCACAAGATAAAGCTGAAGCACTAAATAAGTTCTTTACCACCATTGCCTCTGATATTACCGACACTACCCTACCTGATTTACCTCCCTTATTTGAACTTTCTAATATTAACATAACTGAACAAGATATAACTGACCAATTTGACATTTTCAATAAAAACAAACCAGCTGGTCCTGATGGTATCTTACCTATGATTGTAAAGAACATTTCTTCTTCTTTGGTATACCCACTCAAACTATTATTTCATGAACTTTATCCATTGTAGTAATACCTGATGTACTAAAACTACTAAAGTTACTGCTCTCTATAAAGGTAAAGGAGATATCAGTGATCTCAATAATTATAGACCTATTGCTATTACATCTATTTTTATCAAAATGTTAGAAAAAATAATTTTTAAATATACGTTTAATTATATTTCAAGTCACAATATGTTAAGCGTACATCAGTCATGATTTCAACCCAAAGACTCCACTACTAATCAACTAGCTGATATCTATAATACTATAAGTAGTAATTTGGATCTAGGTAAAGATTTGCGTTTTGTTTTCTGTGACATAAGTAAAGCATTTGATCGAGTATGGCAATGGGCCTATTATATAAACTAAAAACATATGGTATTAAAGGTAAATTATACGATTGGTTAATCAAGTACCAAACCTATTTCTTCAGGGATTCCTCAAGGAACTGTCCTTGGTCCCCTCCTCTTTCTTCTTTTTATTAATGATGTTACTAACAATGTAACCTCTCATATAAAACTCTTTGCAGATGATACCTCTCTCTATGTAATAGTAAATAATAACAATGACCTTACAACACCTACTAACATGCTTAATGATGATTTTGACTCAATCTCTGAATGGTCAAAGCAATGGCAGATCCAATTCAATCCGAATAAGACTGTAGCTATTAACTTCTCTCGTAGACACATTAACAATCATCCTCAACTGCTATTTAACAATACTCCAATTGCACATGAACACGTTACTCCCTTAGGACTAACATTTAACGGTAAAGGGACATGGTCAGATCACATTTCAAATATTTATAAAAAAGCGAACTCTAGACTAAGTATTCTTAGAATTTTAAAACTACAGTTGACAGGAATACATTAAAAACATTATATGTCTCTTATATAAGACCTGTGCTAGAATATTCCGATATAGTATGGGATAATTGTACCAAATCTGAATCAGATCTTTTAGAATCAGTTCAACTAGAAGCTATGTGTTTGATTACTGGCCTCAGACGAGGTACATCTTATCACATTCTGTATACTGAAACTCAACTTGAAACATTACACACACGAAGACAAAATCATAAACTAACATTTATGTATAAAATTCTGAACAATTATCTCGATAATATCATTCAACCATTTCTAAATGTAAATAATAACTATACCTTCAGAAATTACAGATTCTTTAATATCCCACAGACAAGAACTACTTCTTATATGAATAGCTTCTTCAATTCTACAATGGTAAAATGGAATGCACTTGATAGCACTGTACGATACTCCATCTCAATTTCATCTTTTAAAAAGAAACTTAAAAAAAAACCTTTGATACATCCGTCTCAGAAACTTTTATTAACTGTGTTCCGAGGAAACTTAACATCATTTTGTGTCAGCTGTGAAATTTTAAAAGTGATCTTAACTTTGATAAGTTACAAGACCATTTGATTGATGATGTTTCATGTGTATGTGGTGGACAGAGGGAAGCTCTAATACATTTTTTCTTTCAATGTCCTCTATATTCAAATATTAGGCATCATATTACCACTATTTATAATCTATTAGGATATTTAAATCTGCACTGTTTAGTATATGGTATTAGTAATGCATCGGACCAATTAAATAAAACTATTCTTATACATGTTGACTCTTATATTAAATCATCAAAACGTTTCGTTACTTTTCCGTGCTAGATAAATTCCAAATGAATATTCATGTGTTGTTATTATTATTATTCAGGCAAGTTTTGTCCCTTAAATAATGAGTATTAGACATAAGCTGGTGTGGGTGTGGGTGTGCATGTGTGTGAGAGGAAAACGAATTACAACATTTTAATTATTTAAATATTTTACATAGCTACCGGAAATAGAAGAAGACTGATATAGGCAAAGCCTGTTGTCTTATTCTTTTGTCAATACTGTTCTAATTTCTTCTTTAATGTTAACTTATATGTTTGTATTTATATGTATTGTCAATAAAATACTTTTGAAATTGAAATTGAGCTACATGTATCTGGTCGCCGACGATCCAGTTCCGCTACAGAAGTAAGTAGAGCAATTTCTATCAACCTTCATTCATAGTAACAATGACCTAAATAGACCGCAGAAAGTCAAAGCGCACACTCGCATCATC